CTCTTACTTTGAATGAAAAAAAATGATCACTGAGTTATTTAGGTCGTTGGTGTTAATGGTTTTTTAGATAACATGAGTATTTAAATCTTTAGTCTAACTAATCTACAAATGTTTGTAAATTGCCCAATTTACAACTATTAGTATTGGGCAAAACTCCACTTTCAAGGGTGGTTGGTGTGGTCCATTAGAATTATTTGTACTTAAATGATACGATAATGATTGGTATCTCCTCTAATTTAATACACTGCACAACATACTCTGATTCAACTATTAAAATTTGTTTTTAAAAATTTTCTTGCCATGAATTCAAATTTGAAAATAATAGTTTCTTAATAAATGTGTTATAAAATGTGTTGAACTGAAAAGTATACCAATCATTTTCCTCCATAAAGATTTGAATTTACACCCTTAGTATGATTTGAATGACTTATTAACCACTTAAGTTACCTCAATGAATTACTTGTTTGATAATATTATGTAATTGATACAAGATTTTTCCATCAATAAACATTGTTAATAAATCATTGTCAATTATAAATAGACATTTTATGAGATGAGTAATATGAACCATTAAGCTTCTACCAACAAGAAGGTAAGTGGACAATGAGTTCCTAACGGTGAAATTGAACATGTCAAATTCAAATTTTGAAAACAAAAAACTTATTCAATTTCTAAAATAGCTTTGATAACACCTTCCTTTTAATTACAAGATTCAAAAATGAAGTTTATTTGAGATTTCTTTAAGGTGCAAAAGGTAGACCATATGAAACCAAAAACTGAGATATATATATATATATATATTAACAAAATATAAATTTCATTTAGGCTGAATTGGGAAGATTGGTCTTGATTTGAGTTTGTTTTGGGATTGCCAATTAAGTTAAGAAACTCTTTTTGTGAAAATTTGATATAAATAGACATCAGTATCCCTTGTACTTCATTAATAAAATAATCCTTATAATAAAAGAGGTATTCTTGATCCCATAAATCAACAAGCTTACAACATTACAAAATAACACACAAAGCACAAACGAATAATTAATATATAGTTGATTATTTATTTTGCTCCTCCTAGCTCATGCATGATTTATTTACAAACTGACAGATTTGAAATTTATGTTAAATGACTAGGATACCCTTACAAGTGGTTGTCTTGTTTTAACTTGAAGGTGGTTCTCTTCAATTCTAAATGCAGCTTGCATGTCAGGCCGCTGCACCTTGATTTCTGGTTAGGGAATAGGATTCATCCTGGAGCGCCCAGTGCCTTTTTACCATTAATTTTACACAGTTAGCAAGATACTCGGAGTCAAGTGCTAAAAGCCACAATGTTTCGTTGACAACAAATTTTTGTAACAACGACATGTTATCGAATGCATATCAATACACATCTCTTTACCCAAGTGAAAAAAGCTAATAAAAACTATGTGGGGGGAAAAAAGAAGAGTAGTTTTTAGTGAGAAAGGCTGTTGTTTCTGTTATTCTGCAAAAGCAAACAACTGGAGAGTGATCTAGAGAATGTTTCAGTCAAAAACAAGCTGATCATGATGAGTACTCCCCCTAAAGTCTTCTCTTTTTCCTTGTCTTGAATTACATCACAAAAAAGCAAAAGAAACTAAAGAAAGGCAATGTAATTACATCGTAAAGAGAGACACCATATCAACGGTGAAACGAGTACTGTTGAGAGGGAGGATTGAAAGAAAATAAATGAGGATGGTGAAATAAGTCTGCCAAGTTTGTCTTCTCTATCTGATTCCGCCTTCAATGTGAAGACACGGCATCTCCGTGCCTACTATGATCGATCCTCATGTTGTTGGTTCTTCTTTCATCTTCAAAATAATTAATTCTGTACGCACAATGGGAAGGGGAAGTAATTGCAGGTTTCAGCATGAGAGTGCGTTTTCATTTAAACTAAAAGCCAGGGACGACAGACAGCAGTAGTTTCTCTTTTTTTTTTGGGTGTTGTAGAAAATCCAACACCATCTATGGTATATCATCCATCAATTTTCATATTTACCATCTTCAACAACCTTCTGCAGGCCTCTAGGGTTTTCTCTTTTTAATTTCTTCTTGTTTTTCTAGCATTTACCTCTCCTTGATATACATTATTCATGGTAGTTGTTAAATGTGTCATGATATCATTGACCTATCATTCAAATTAGTTTCTCTGGTTTTTGTTATCAGATTAATTATATTCTCTGATATGGGTTCTAGCAGTACCATACAACAATTAATTCATCTTATTTTCCTTTTTCAAAGAGTAAATATCATGACCTCTAAGCTGATTTTATCCATTTTTTAAAATATTTTTTCTGTTAAAAAAATTAAAACTTAAATCAAATGTAATTTTTTTAAATATACTGTTGATTTTTCTAAAAGTTATATATTTTTTTGAATGTATTACAATTTGGGATAGGGGATTTGAACCTTAATCATATGATAAAATATATAGTTATCGAGTCACGAAAGCCAAATACTTTTAATAGTTATTTTCAATTTATATGAAAGTTAGAATTGAATATATATATATATATAAAGCTTCAGGTGTAGATTTTTTATCGTTAAACTTACAATTAAACTTAATTAATAATTTTATCAATTTTCAAATTATATATTATACCTACTATAAAAAAATTATTTATGACACTATTTTATATGAATTCATGATTTTACACCAAAAGCAGTACTCAAATATTATTATATACAATCAATTATTACTATGATTTAATAATTACAATTCTTTTAAAAGAGGTAATAATATTTAAAAATTTAAAATTTAAGTTATAACAATCACATTTCACTTTATTTTTTTATTTGAGTAGGTTTATATTTTGGAAGAGGAGGAATTTGAACCCCGATTTAAAGGTGGAGGATGCACCTTATTACCATATATACTCAATTGTACTTTTTTCAATTATACTAGTTAAAAAATGAGAATAATATTATACACTATTTCAAATATTGTTGAAAAAAAGTATTATGTAGCATATACAATTTCATGAGATATGTACTTGACCCCAAGGGATTTTCGCATGAAATAGAATTTATTAATTTTCAAAATCATTTATGATCTATTTTACATGTTCTCCATTAATTCTTATTTATCTACCACTGATTTAACTAATATATGTACTTTTCATAGTTTTTTTTTTTTTAAATGTAATTTTAAAGGTACATCTAACACTAATCTAATATATTTAAAGAAATTAATATATATTTTTCTTTAAAAATTTTTATTTTTTTAAATGTTGAACTCAAGCCTTAAATTTTAAATTTATCTAACAAAATAACACTTTCTTATTTATCTTTAGACCCAATCTTGGGGTTATATATTTTCCATATCTTTGTGGAGCCTTCAATGGACTGGTTTATTTATAACTTATTTCGCAGGGTCCACACTCCATACCATAGGGATACACATATCTACACAAAGCTGTAGCAACTTCCTTGTACATAACTACAAACTCTTTATTGGTCTCATTTAAAGTTGGCTTCAACATATATGTGAAGGGAGGGAATGTGGTTTAGGACAAAATTTTAAAACAAGACAAGATGTCTAAAAGCTTTAATAGCTTCATTCATTTACTTTTCCCCATTTCTGAATCATCATTTACTCTCACCACGCAATCTATAAGCCAACACATTACTGCACTTTTGCCTGCCCCCACTCACTCCTCCATCATCAAGCTGCCATTGGCTGATTCCATTATATAAAAATAGGGGGATCATCGGGAGTCACGCCGCGATGTTCGGACGGAATTGGGTGCCGGAGGGGAGCCTCCGGACCCACAACCTTGAATTCGTTTTAGATTTTCATTTCCCATTTTTGGTGTCATGTCCCCATCCGGGTCCTGTAATAACCGTTGGGGCCTAAGTTTGATGCATTCCCCTTTTCCTCAATCATAGATGCAATATTGGTTATTAATTATAAAAAATTGTTTCCCATTCAAACCATAGTGTATTAAATTTAAAAAACACAAACAAGTGTTATCCATCATATAATAAAATTTTTAATTGTAGAAAAAAGAATCTTTTATCTAAAAATAAAGGTTAAAAGAGTTTTAAATATATTTTTTATGTATTAATTTATATACAAATTAAAAAATTAACATTAATTTTAATATTTCTAACACGATATTTTTTATTAGATAATTAATAAAATTAATATTAATTTTTAATTTTATTATATATTTTAATAATAAAAAAATACAATAAATACATTTTTATTTTATTTTCTACTAGCAATAAATTAAAAAACCCTTATTGAAAAAGCTTTGGAGGGAAAGTCTTGTGTAATATGGATGTCATGTCAACTGCATCTGTTAAGAAAAATCTGATTCATCAGAGGTTCCTCCTCTAATCTCATGACACGGGTTTTCTTATTTTATTTCACATGTTTTCATGTCGGTTATGCTAAAATGTTCAAATAAACCTTTGATGTGAAAAGTTTGTATTTATTAAAAGATCTTTTGCCTAATAACAAAGATGGAAATGTGTCTCAAAACTTTAAAGTTATAGGTTCAGCTCTTATAGATACATTTTTTTGTTTTGTGGATTTTATGTATATAATTTAAATATGTAATGTGTGCACTTTATATACCGATCGACTTTGTATTTTGCATAAAAAATTTTTAGTTGACATGGTATCCCAGTTGCTCATGATTTTTTTTTTTTTCTTTTTCCTTGGGATGACATCATGGTGAAATGTTTTACTCTTTTTGGTACAAAAAATGGAGGTACAGAACAGAGGGTGACTTTCCTTGGCTAAAAGATTGTAAAACTCGACAGAAGCAAAAGGTTTCTCTGTTTTTGGCACACTGAAGTTGCGGACTAGCATGAGTCTGTGGGTTCATTTTTCTTTACTATATCTCCTTCATAAATAGTTAACTTCTAGGAAAGATTTCTAAACCTGATTGCGGATCCAAGGGTTGGTATTTTTATCCAAACCAAGAGTAACTAGGAGTAACTTGCAGAGTATAGGAACCACAAAAATTGCTGGCTAGAACAAGTTAAAAACCTTCAAATCCTAAGGGTTGGTCTGATAGGGTAATTCTTGAAATAAATAGTCTCTTTTCTTTAATTACTAGACCAAAGGGTTGAATTTAGTTCAATATGTATAAGGTCGCTCAGAGTTACTGACCAAAAAATCAAGAAAATGTAGTCACATATCAGACAACAGCATTTCTCTAGACACCTAGTTTCAAAACTCCCTAAGCATCGATGAGTTTTCCTCTCACCTTATTTATTAATCAGATTTGTTTCTCATAGATAATGAAGAAATATTTCTTCATGAATTTTCTAATCTCAATTTTTTTTTTTATCAACAAAATCAAATAGCACTTATATTATTCTATGAGTATACAAAATACTCCACCACAAAATACAAACATTTAAGCCACAACTCAACTGAAAAGAAAATTCAAAAGTGCTAAAAACAATTGTCCATAAGCTAAATACATTTGGAAACTGTGCCACAAGTACTCAAATAACCCACAAGTAGATCAGATCATGACGCATTGCATCTTCTTATAATTCTTTGAATTTTGACGATGTTGAACTATGGTTTCCTTGCACTCTATAGGCCTTGATATCCAATCTGAGTTTTCTAGTCTCAATTGATTGTCTATCTCTAACTATGTTGAAATCAAATTGTGAAAAGGAAAATTAATTAGTCAGTCCATTAATTAAGATCACGTCTTTAGGGCTCACGAACTAGAACAAACATGTTTTTAGAGTTTATTGTTTGGACTATACAACACTCTTTTGATGTTTTTAACATGTGTACCAAAAGAAAACTTATTTTAGTATGCGTAAATTCATCACTCAAAATACATACTAAACTATAAAACAAGAAAAAAAATATATAATTATTCTGCATATGGCAGCATTGTGGGAAGAAATGACATGTGATGATGATATTTTTCTAGGCAATATATCTCCCATGGAGGCATGTTGTTCACCATAAATGACACAGAAATTGTCTTTTGGGGTGTGAATTAAGAAATGGGACAGCCTTGTGGAGCCTATTACGTATCCTTTCTCAAAGCTGAAGAGCTTTCAAGAGAGATTTTGTATATGTAGGGATGGAGATGTCACACAAAGGAGCCATCAATGCCATGAATGCAGTATACAAAACAAAGTTTAGTGCTTTTGCTTTCATATTGCTGACTGCGACGGGTGACAACAGGGTGGTAGTTGGGAAGGGGAGGGAGGCTGCCCATTTAACGTGGTTTAGACTTTACTTTAGACGTCCCACCTTATACTGAAGGAATGTCTGCTACATCTAGGGTCCTCTTTCCAGCTACTAATATTAATTAATGAACTTAATTCGATCTGCTCCAACATGGGCAGCATTGTTAATTTGATCTTGCTGGGCCAGGGTGATTGCACCGGGCTTTTTCGTGATTCAGGAAATGAGGTAACTGTCCAGGCCCAGATTAACCAGACAATTCCAGGCCAGGGTGATTGCACCGAGCTTTTTCTCATTCACTAGGACTTTGTGTGAATTAGCATGTATATTCACTTTTAGTAATGTGTCGTATTACTCTTCTTATGTAACAAAAAAAAAAAAGTGTCATTAATATAATGACTTAAATAATTTAATGGTAAATTTTTAAAAAAATAAAAAAATTTTAAATTCAAATAGTATACCAAGTGAATAAAATTAATTAAGAAATGAAAAAAACTATCTTTTATTGTGTAATATAAAATT